CTGCCTGGAGTTCGCAGTGGTGACCCACAGCCAACACGCTGCCACAAGCCGCAGCTCCGCTGGAATTTCACTGGCTTCAGAGGCAACTGCACCGGGCAGAACCACACAGCATTTCACACAAGGACCTTGATTACCGGGCTGGATTTAATAACTGGTAAAGACTGACTCCAGAGCTACTAACGTGCCATTTGCATGTTCTCAGAATGGCTACAGACATCTGAGACAAAACCGTTTTCTCACTTCAGAGTCTGCTTGATTGAAAGGCTCCAGTTCCTTGAGCTCTACTATCCTCCAGCTGCAAGGAGCAACACAAGCTAGAGATCACTTCCAGGAAAAACACGTTTGGTACTAACATTTAAATCCAGGCAATACTAATACCTTTTTATTTGTATTTCTTTTTTTTAATAAATACTTTTTTTATCTATAAGGAATAATTTCCTTCTGTCATTTCATTAAGAGGAACTGCTCTTACTCTGCCCAACTGAAGCTATTTCCTCCTGTCACCCACGGCAGAGAGAATCTGTAAAGCCTGGTCTGTAGATACCTTGGTACTGCAGTCTCTTTGTTCTGAGGCTTCTCCACTCAAGAGGCAGCTGCTACTGACTTTGGGATCACAGTTGTCCATGTCATAGGAGTATTCAGCTTTTCTCCTTTTGGAGGACTCCTGAAACACAGAATGAAGGGAAAACCCCATGCAGAAAATTAATGTTGACACAAAAGCCTAACTGAATGCAACTTCTCTGTAACTGCAGCGGGTTCTTTCCTCTGTCACTGGTGTTCAGAGATATTTTGGTCATGTCCTACAATCGCTACGGTTCAGTTTATTACTGTATGAAACAGGATAACACTTACCTACCTCAGTGAGCAGGATTTCACTTACAACTTTGTGTATGCTTGGGTCATCCGTGTAGCAAAAAAATTATTTAAACAGGCAAAGGTGGCAGCTATGATGATGACTCAAGAAGTAAAAACCTGTCATTTCATTAAACTAAGGGAGCTGTACTTAATTTGCCTTTTGAAATAAGAGCTGAGAAGGAAAACATAAAACCAGTAAAACCATGTAAGACCACCACCTTCCTGAGGCTGAGGATACTGCTGCTGAGACGACAAAGTGAAACATCACAGCATTGGGGCTGGAAGACACGAATATTTCCAAACAGAGGAACAAGGCTCTGGAAAAATGTCCTAGGAACACTGGAATGAAGAGACCCCCTCAATCATTCTGAGAGGCATAAAGAGGTCCATATACTGTGGTTCCCTGCAGAGCTGGAGATTAGACCTGCAATTCAGAACTTAGAAGCCAAAGTCTCAAAGATGCCACAGTTCTTCTGTTCCTTTCTCAAACATCCTTTTGTTTCTAGGTAAAAAGGCCAACCACAAACTGAAGTTGTCAGTGGCCACAAAGTTAGCTATGGTCTATTACTGATGTAATATTTATTATTTAGAAACCTTAACAGACACAGGACTGCTCGGAAGCATCCTTAAAAAAAAAAAATCTTATTAGGAAGCAGAGACTGTACCTGAAAGAGCAGCTTACAAAAGAAGCAGGTAACTCAGAGTTGGTCTGTTAAATCTGTGCATCAGGGAGAAGAGCACTTGCAAAGAAAGCACTAACAACACAGGAGCCATAAAACAGAAAATAAGGAGCTGATGCAAGTGAAATAGGTGTAACGGGCTTCATGGAGGGGCTCACCACCCCCTTCTACAAGTCACAGAATCATTTAGTCCAGTGAAGATCCACAAGTATGGTGTAGATCTCCATGAGATGGACCTGAAGCACAGAACAGTCAAAACCAGAAAAAGCTCCTTAGAATCACAGGATCATTTAGCCTGACAAAGACCCTTAAGATCATCAAGTCCAACCATTACCCCAGCACTGCCAAGGCCACCACTCAACCACGTCCCTCAGCACCGCATCCGCGCGGCTTTTAAATCCCCCCCAGGGATGGTGACTCCACCGCTGCCCTGGGCAGCCTGTGCCAGTGCTTGACAGCCCTTTCCGGGAAGGAATTCCCCCTCCTATCCGATCTAAACCTCCCCTGGCACAACCTGAGGCCGTTCCATCCCGTCCTGTCCCTTGTTGCTTGGGAGAAGAGACCGACCCCCACCTCTCCCCAGGCTCCTTCCAGGGAGCTGTAGCGAGCGATCGGGTCTCCCCTCAGCCTCCTCCTCTCCAGGCTGAGCCCCCCCCCCATTCCCTCAGCCGCTCCTCACAGCACTCGTGCTCCAGACCCTTCCCCAGCTCCGTTGCCCTTCTCTGGGCGCGCTCCAGCCCCTCAAGGTCCTTCCTGGGGTGAGGGGCCCAACACTGAGCCCAGTATTGGAGGTGCGGCCTCCCCAGTGCCGCGGACAATCGCTGGCCACGCTATTGCTGACACAAGCCAGGGTGCTGTTGGCCACACCACTGGCTCATACTCAGACGGCTGTCAACCAACAACCCCAGGCCCTTTTCCAGCCACTTTTCCCTACAGTCTGTTCTGTCAATTAGACCTCACAGTTACCTACAAGCAGAAAGAGAAAGGGAATAGTGATAAGTATAGCAGGTCTGAGACCCTATCCTTCAGTGTGGTCTTTGCTCAACATAACTGGAGAACCAGGAGTTAATGCTTTTCTATAAGTGGTGGTTGCAGGACAAATTTTTCAATCCTCTCTTACTTGTAGAAAACCAAGAAAATGTTAAGGATCATCTCCCTGCTGATGTTCCTGCTTCATATGGGGAAGTGCATAGCAATTAAACCTCTACTATTAATCTGTAGCCAAATAAAGCTGTAACATTGTGTGTATATAACTATTTGCTTACCAAAAAAAAAGGAATTGGTAAGAGTATTGTCAGTACTAAATTTGAAACCAACCACCCTGGCTGGGGAAGCAGTGCAGCAAGCACCTAGCCAGTCGAGCATGGCCTGAGGAAATATGAAGCAAAAAGGTGTAACTCTCTGTAACTCTCTAACACCAACATCCAAACTGTATTTCCCAGCAGTCCATCAGCAGCAATGACCCACGTGAATTCCCAGTGGGTCCACAGCCCCACAGCAGTGCTCATTAAGAGAGGTGTCCCCTAGGTCCTCTCTAATTAGATTAATTTGCCACAGCTTTTGTTTCAACTCACCAATGCAGAGCTGCCAGTGAAAGGGATCATGCTGGCAGAAGGGGCTGGAGGGGTCTCTGGGTACAAGGAACTGTATTTATGTGCCAGAGGACAGGAAACAGGGAAGCTGTGACTGGATGTTCCTTCAAGCTGCCATCTCCCTTCAATCAATGACCATGTTAATGAAATATGAACAGACCAAGGTAAAGTCAGGCTGACATAAAACTGGATGTTGATAGCCTGTAAGGTCACCAAACCCACCCTGGGGAACAGAGCAGAACAAACACCAGCATTAGAGAACAAACCTAAACCAGAAGCCTCAAGTGACACGTCGGTGCTCTGCAGCACTGGAAATGCTAGCCCAAAAATGTTACTTTTGGTAGGTGTTAGCAAAATAAAGTGGAAGGTGAAGCAGAGGTTACAGCCATCAGGAACTGCACTTCTCAGTCCAAAATACAGCCACCTAAAAAAAGCTTCCTTCGCTGTCCAACTGGTCAAGCTAGTGCTATTTCTAACCATCGCTCCAATGACAAACCTCACTGATTTTAAGACAGATGTGCTCTTCTCCCTGAAGTCCTATATAACCTCAGCTTGATAGGGGTTTTTCTACATCAGTTAACTTTATTTCTCCCATTTGTGACTGGCTTATTCTGTGCTCAATACCACAAACGGAGCAATCTTCCAAATTTATTGTGCCAAATTACTCCACTATTCAAACCCTTTCTAAAGTTCTAGCTCTGTGACACTCTTGGAGTTAAAAATATATGAAAACCATCCGGCATTACTGCATAACCCATTAGAACGTACTCTTCACTGTAGGTGTCTACATACCATCACCCTCCCCCTCCCATACATACTCTCCATAAATAACAAGTTTTTATGTAGTCTTGTGGCTAAATATTTGAAAAAAGGATGGAGGTATAGAAAGATAAATCAGTTAAAGTCAAACAGCTGCTGACCAGTTGATATAACCTATACTGGTGTGTTACTCAAGCATCCTCTAGTAGGTTCCTCACATTTATTCAATACCAACCACCTGCTTGCTCTACCCTCACTACATCCCAAGCAGATTACTGGAAAGATGATATCTCCAGAACAATTCTCTCCAAAAACAATGTCCATCCCTATTCAAAGCTAAGTAACCTCAGCTCAGACTGACTAAGCATCATAAAATCAAGTTGTAGCTCAGATCATTACAGCCAAACACACAACCTGGGGCTGCTGATATACTTTCTGCATGGAAGTTGTGGCTTGGGGGTTTTTTGATTGTTTTTGTTGTTGTTTGCTTGTGTGGTTTTTTTTTTCTTTTTCTTTTCTTTAAATACTATCTAGTTTGTTCACGATAGCTTGTATCAGCAGTCACAGAACATCAGTATTCCAGATACTGTGTGCCATCGGAATGTCAAGAATATAACCAGCTTGCACACGATGTTACTTTCAAAAAATGATTTGGCAAGAAAACATGCCATTTGGCTTCCTTTAAAAGAACACCAACCCTAGTTCATTTAAAAACTAGGATGTGTTTTAGCTGAGTTTCCTGCTTCCTGTCTTGAAACTGGCCTGAGTCTTCTGTCACTCATTTTAACCTGCTGTAGAACATTTTAAAATCATCAACTTCGATGAGCCGATGAAAAAGAAATTAGGCCTTCCTAAACTGTAAGAACAGCATGCAACTGGAACAGCAATCGCTATCACAGCAGGAAAAAGATGCCAGAATTTTGCCAGGCAAATACCAATCTACATTGATTTCAAGTAAAGGTTCATAAAAGCTTCATTTTGGGTTGCTTGTTCCCTTGAAAGAAATGCAGGCAAGATTTATTTATTTTTAATAACTTGGCTGAGGCCAGTATTTCTTTGTCCCTCCAAGGGCGTCAGAATTTCTGTAGTTTTCAAGATGCTGGACTCAGTCACTGAGACATTATTGTAAGACAGAGTTCAACTTATCTTCCACTGGAAGACAGTGAGCTACTTTCTCCACGTTACCTTGACTGGTTGCCCTCAGGTATTAGTTAAAAGCCCGCATTTAATGTTCTAACTTCAACTCAAGCTCCATCTTGCTTAACTTATGGGAGGCAAGCAGGAGCCAAGAGTGTTGCTTTGGGAATGTGCCGTTAGTTGGATCTTGTTTCTTTCCCAAACAGGACATCTTCAGAGTCCTGAGCTCATGGCTCAGTAGTCTATGCAGTCCGTCCCCTCTTAATAAGGTTTCAAAGTACAAGTGGATAGGGTTGCCTGAAAGTAGGAGAACCAAGTTATTTTGGTAACGTGAAGTTTTCTTTTCTCACATACAGCACTGCACGCCCGTTGCTCACAGTTCACATCTGAGTAGTGGTAAAGCAATGAAGTGACACAGCTAACTAAAGCCAGCAGGGTGGATGGCAGGCTCTCTCGCCCCACGCACGCTGTGACAGAGTGGACAGGATGAGCACGTCCCCAGAAAGAGCAGCCTCTGCCCTGGCCCAATCCTACAGCCAGAACCCAACACCTGGCTGTTGAGCTTCCTCACCCTTACGCTAACCTGAATCATACCCAGCTACATATTACTTGGCACTTGTTTGCATCATTATTTAACAAGCAGAGGTGAGCTTATATTTTTTTTAATGATAAATATATCTTTGGAGAGATGCTCTCATTGTTGCACAGTAGAAAAAGTATTTTCCTCATTGTCTTTTAACCTAAGACAAAAACTCCTTAGTGCTCATTCTTGCTCTTCCACAGTTAAAGGCACTAGCAGTGCTGCACCCACTATCATCCTTCAGTTAAACAGGAACTAAATGTTAAGATTCAACAGAACACAGTTCATAAAGCAACCACAGAACACATCTAGAAGGTTACAGGTGTTTAAATAAGGACTGCTTAGACTCAGCGATTTCACACTCAAAAATTGGTGCTAGAGGTCTACCAAACAAGTGCCACACAGCCCGGAAAATCAGCATTAGCTTTTGAGTTTTTCAAATCATCTTTCAGGGCAGGGGTTTAAAAGGAACTTACAATAGCAGTTCTGCAAGCTTCCAGATTTAGAATGTTCCTTGCAGAAGACACAGAGCTGATCCTAAAGAAGTGATTTAAGCTTACATTGAACTAGAGATGGCAACTGCCTCAGATGCAGGCCAAGACACAAGGTGGTTTTCTAGGCTCAGAGGTCTCCACGGACGGCATCCTTGGACTGAAGACATGTCTCTGGTTACAATGCAGAACATCACTGAACACTTTTCATCATCCTCTAGAAACATGCCTACAACTCCATTGGCATATTTTTAACCTCCTTGCATTTAAGGAGGAAGAGCAAAGAGGGCAGTGGCACAGTAAAGGATCCTCTTCTATGTTGCAACAACAGGTGATCTACTCACCATGAGATAAGGAGAGAATGGTGTGGAAGCCAGAGTCCAGGAGGGCTACGCGTTCTTCTAGGGACAAGGTGACTATTGTCTGGACAGAGGCTTTGCAGCTACACAGGACGCAAGAGTTGGGCCACTCACAGCTGCACTTCACAGCGAGAGGTTTCAGCGGCTAGAAGAAAGGAGATCAAACATTTGAAAAGGGAAACATGCTTCAGATGTAAGTAAAACCAAAGTTCAGATCCAGTATCTCCAGTCTGCTTTCTACAGGTACATTAGTTTCCATTCACTAAAAAAGCAAAGCCAGGCAAGTTTTCAAAGACTGAAAAGCATCTCTGGCATCATCTTTCCCCAGCACAACTGAGGAAAAAAACCCATCCAAAAACCCCAGGTTGTAAGCAAGCAGCAGATTTCCAGGGTGAAAAATAAAATCAAGAGCTCAGGTCAATGTTAAGAGTGTGCAATAGTACTACCACAGGCTGTTTCTCCTTCTGACCATGGATGAACTACCTTATCAAAACAATTCTGTGGGTCAAGGAACACATTTGTGTGATTCTTTACTAGTATTTCCAAGCCAACAGAGCTGCTCCTCTGTGACTCCAGTGAAGCCATACTACTTCATCACTTTCTTTTTAAAACTTCAAACACCTCTGTTCCATTTCCCATCCTGTTCCTCCTCATCTTCCTTTAAGGCTTTTTGTAGCTCTGATGCTTCCAAAAACCTTGATAAAAAACCCTGTTAGGTGAACAATCCACCACCAGCGGCATCTATCATTCTGACAATATTGACTTATTTTCCACTCTTCCTCACTTGCCTGTTTGGAATGTAAGCTGCAACCACAGCAGCTCTCACGTCTTTGTTCCACTATTTTTCCCCACACTGTCACTAAGACACACCCAATGCCCCTTCCCATTAATATATCAGGTTCCGCAGTATCAGTCAAACCAGAAGAGGGAGCATTAATAATGCTTCTACCTATAGCCTAAGCAGACTGAAATGAATCACACTGGCTTTGCACTCTGGTGAAACAAAAGATCAGACCAGGACAAGTAACATAACTTTTAATCTTTTTGTCTTGAATCTGCAGCTTGCTAAATACCTGTCACTTGTAAATCAATATAATAAGGAAAAGGCTACAAACAAGAAAATAAGATATGAGCAGCGTAACAAACTACCACTTGTCAACTGATGGATGTTACCACACACTTTAATATATTAATTCTGACAAACAAAGAAACATTAATCAGCAGGTAGCTCACAGCTAGGTGTCCAAGGAGCACTCATTTCATCAGACATGGTAGCTCAGCCTTCAAATACACAGAACCCAGTCACACACCAGGTTGCCAAGTCTGAACCAAGGTTAGATATTTTGGGGGGGGTTATTCTTGAGTGGCCGGTGGCTTTTGAGGTGTGGTTTGGGGTTAGGGTTATGTTTAGGTGTGGTTTATTCTTCCCTGGACAATTCCAAGGTAATCAGCTCCAAAAGGAAGTAGCACAAGGTTGCTGCCCACGCTAAAGGCTGAGGTACACTCTGGTCATTGTTACTCAAAAACGCACAGCTGCCTGATTTTTAGAGATTTAGAATCTGTTTTAAAACCACAGTTAAATAGAGAACACAACAAAACTTGTACTTACTTTACTGCTGAAGTGAGACACCGAGGGAGCTCGGACAAGCTTGCGCTTCTTGTATTTGCAAACTGAGCAGATCCTAGCAGTCATGCAGACTCTTAGTGGGGTTTGCTTGCCAAATCTCCCTTCGACATTTACGCCCATCAGAGATCTGCTGTCAGAGGAGCCAGTACACAAACTGCAACCAAACGAAAAACAACTCTCAGAGCAAGAGTAGTAAGTTCTAATTCTGTATTTATTATTGCAGCTGGGACACCCAAAGTCTCCTTAAGTATCAACAGCTTGGGCTTACCAGTTTTGTTCTCACCACGTTTTTAGTCTTTGCTGCATTCTCTTAAGTGGTGTGCAGATTTCTGAATATTTAATTCTCAACAGAAATGGACACTGAAGGGTCTTAACAGCTATATTTGTATCGGTTTAAGGACAGAAAGTGTTATTAGTAGCCATTAATAACATGCGTTATTTCTCTATCAAAACTTCAGTCAGCAGCTTAGTTTATCACCTGATAAAAACAAAGTCATTTACTTCCCATAAAGATAGCTGTTAAACCTAGAAATACCAGCAAACATTCTTTCCATTTCTTTGTTCACCATGGAATTATAGCTAAATCTAACCATACGTTATTTTTGAATAAGCCGATACATGTTTATTGCCTTGCAGTACGTTCTTCTTCTGGAACCATCTGTAAAACAGTGCCTTCGTAAAAGATCTTTTTTTGTAATTGGTCATGCGTTGACATTACTATTTAAAAACTTCATTTATCTGTTACTTTTGCTGGTCACAATCAAACGTGATAATGTTTGCTATGCAAACCAAGAAAAAAAATTTTCATAAAATTAGAAGTTTAAAAATCTGTATTTTTGTCATTTGAACCAGAAGGGTTCTAGAGGGCTATTCCAACTCTATGCAGAACTGTAGGTCTGCCAGGCAGAAATCAGCATCACCAGACATTGACCTGAGGTACTGGTTGGTGACAAGCCTTTAGAACTAGAAAAAAAACAAGTCTCCCCAGCTCTGCCATTCCTCCTGAAACTGAGTTGCTGACTTACATCCAAGTTAGATCATTCTATACTGCTGTCCTTTTGTTTTCAGTTTAAGCCAAGTCTCCTACTCAGCTATAAACGCATATAGACAAGGAAACATCTGTAGGAGAAGATGTGCTTTAGAGACCCAAATTTCCCCAATCACCTCTTAACTGTGCAAACCAGGAAGATAAAATTTTATGGACAACAGTAAGAGGCAAAATGCAAGTGAGAAAGTATTCCACAAAAATATATACTGCTCATGTTCCATAAAACCAAACTAGTTCTGTGTAACAGTGTATGATGAACCTCTGACATTACGGCAGATCTGCATGAGACTATTCTTTCCCGGTGGCCTCACATCTCCTGTTGCCCTACACAGGAAACATAGGCTTGATGCAAAATTGGCGTATGTGCTTTGGACCCAAACAATTCCAAACTGCAGTAACTTCCACAGTAGGTAGCTCAGGTAGCGGTACAAGAAGGAAAGGGTTGCTGTGATGAGATGTCACTGCCCAAACTTCAAAGAACTTACCGCAATGGGATGCACCCGGGCCATCCTGCCTGAAAAGTAACCATTTCAGGTGATGATGTAACAGCCAGGAGTATTTGTCTCGGGCTCTGAAACCAGGCCACCACTCTACATCTCACTGCCACCCGCACTCCAGGTAAGCAGAACAACATGCAAAGGAGAAGATCTGTGGCCAGAACCACAGTCACTACATTCATATCCATCGAAAACCCAGACTCACTCATGAGTTTGTATCTGCCCTATAGTTATTTGTCATACAAAGACAATTAACTTCTAATTACTTTTTTTTTAATTGTGTAGCATTCCACACCCAAATAGCATGGAAAAAAGTTACAAAAATGGTAATTTTACTTGCAATTTCTCAATATGTCTACTTATTCTCACAAAATAGCCTTAGATTTCCACTGTGAATTTTTCATTAGGGGTACACCCAATGATCCTATAAAAGCTAGGGATAACCAGACTACGAAAATCTAAGATGTATTTTCAGTTTATCACAGATGACTGAGGTATACGAGTGTCAGAGAGCATTTTTAAAATTGCATTCAAGGTGTCCCAGAACTTGAGCCTTTCAAGTGCATTCTAATAAAGTCTCAAATCCCCCAAGGAGCTCTTGTGAATAAGAAAGTTTGAGAAATTTCTATTACCTTGTGTGTTAAACAGGAGATTCAATGTATCAGTTATGTACAGAGGAATTCTATGGCTCTTACTCTCTAACTGCTGAATAAAGCTCTGTATTAAGCTTCTAAAATACGACACAGCTTGTAAAAAATCCATGCTTCAAATCTACACCAGATACAGCTTTCCTCCCAAGAGGCAGAAGTTTCAAAAGCCATTACTAGATTAACAGAAACAAGACAAACAAGCTACTTCAGACTGTTTCCAAACATAAGCAGAGGATGATTTAACCAAAAAAAAAAATCTGAAGAGACAAAATATTTAAATTTTGGAATCATGTTACATATAGCTACTCATTTAGGAGTGATCAAAGATTGATCATACTATACTGCACAGGAACTATCCACCAGAACCTATTTTTACAAGTTCCAAAATGGAAATCCTGAGTGTAGGCTCAAAAACCTTTGATCTCTTCCCTGACAAGGTCCAAATGAATTCCTAGTATCTGAACAATTCCAGTTTGGGTACTTTGCATTTCATGCTTGGGATGTGAGCTGGATACAAGAAAAGTTCTCAAAGATTTTTCCAGAGTCTGGCTATTAGGGAACTGCATCCCAACGCAAGCACCCAGCCAATTCTACAGAAGTCACTATTTAAGAAAAGTCTTAAAAGCTTTTAGGCACCAGAAGAAAACAGAGCCATTTAGTTAGTATCTTAAGCAAACTCTCTTCACCTTACGGAACTTGTAACCTTTCGAGTTAATGTGAAGAGACTGTGCTTAAGACATTAATGAAAACACCATGTAATGCTGTATTTGCAAAAATAAGCTACAGAGATGCATAGTAACAAGTTTGAATTAACACACCCAAACCTAAACAAGAGTGAAGCTCATGTTATGTCGCAGACAGCAGGTCCAAGCACTAATGTAAAACAGAAGGGTCCTGGCAGTTTTCCTACTGGTCTCAGGCTCCTGCTTTCACACCCCCGTGGTGGTTGTGTCAACCACAGCAAGCAAAGCAGTGGTGGGTCGACCTGTTTGCAGTCAACCATCCCTCTCTACAAAATCAGAACTTCCCCAGTAGCAGCAGGTCAACGTAAAGATGCCCATTCTTTCTAATAAACCCGTTAATAACCGCCTGCCCTACAAGCAGATGTGCATTCCTGATGGGGAATATGGAAGTGCTCCTCTTTGGGGGCGGCTTCAAGCTTCCTCTACTTCTTCCTCTTCAGAGTTCTCATGGAATTCGTCGTTCATCATCAGCACTGGAGGCTGGGCCAGAGCCCGCATTATGTAAAGAATAGTGACTATGTGGTACCCTCCCTGCCATCCCAACAGCCTTTTCGTTTCTCACAGGCAGAAACATGCACCACCAATTCAGTTTGCTTTATCAAAATTGGTAACTTATGTATAATAAAATATATAATGCTTTACTTGCAATTCAGAAGATTGATTGCAAAGGCAGCAAGCATAAAATTTAATGGAACACAGAAGCAGAGAGTAGTATTTCAGCTGGGTTTAAGATGACTTAACTCTTCAAGTATGACAGAGACCCACAACACGACACTGCAAGTAACTGTGGATTAAAATAGCCATTTAAGAAGATTTAGACATTTATAATTTGGTCTAATACTTCCAGAATCCTCTGGATTTCTACAAGTCAAGAGAAAATGAGCTGCCTTATCTGCAGAATTAACCAAGAATAAAAGCACAATTACTAAAGTATCTACCTTCAGAAGATTAGCAATGTTACTGCTTGAAGCTCAGGACTAATCTGCTAAGAATTTGTTAACCTTCTCAATCACCATAGCAGAAATGGAACTAAGTGTCTGCTTTGAATAATATTACTTTGTTCTCTCATTCTACTGCAGTGCAATCAATTCTAGGCTGTAACTACCACTGTTAAAATGCAAGTTAGTTCTACTGAATGAATACAGCAAGGAAAACCTCCACTAAAGCCATCTAGGAAAGAAAACAAACTATTCTCCGAAAAAAACACAAGATGTTTCATTTCACTGGGAAATGCATCAGCCTGAAGCCTCTGCATGTTGTGATTAGTCCAATTTCAACTGCCAAAAGCTCAACCAAATTATTAGAAGAGCATTAGGTACCTCAGAGGAAGGTGCTGATTTGCATGATCACACTGGATCAGACCAAAGGTCCATCTCACTCAGTATCTTGTGGAGCAGCTGGGCTGAAAACGGGCGAGGAGAAAGGGATTCAGAGGCCTGGTGGCCACTGGGGGATCTTGGAAGCCACTCTACCCAGCAGCAGCAGCCTGCCACTGAGATGGCACTGAGGGAGAAGCGCACAGCAACCCAGACACAGATGCTTCACATGTGTCGGGACATGCGTGGCAAAGCCACCAAGTGCCAAGGTGCCCCTGCACGCCAGGAGGGCGACAGCAGGTCCCTGCTGTGCTAGCACCATCTAGGCAAACCCAGGCTTGGCTTTGCCCAGAACTGGCTCCATCTGTACTTGAACCGTCTGTGCTTCACCCACCACACTGACAATGGCAAGATGTGGCCAGGAGGATCTGCCTACAGTAACAGAACAGCAGGTAGGTGGCTCCACAAGAAAAAGGCAGTGGCCCTGAGGAGATGTCTAGAAAATGAGTGTAAGAATCGGGCAAGTACATACGATACCTATAGCCTTGTGCTCTAAAGAGTCTCTCCCAGCACCTTCACCTCAAACCACGCTAAGCTTAGGCAGTCCCAGTGTATTCAGCAGTTTCAGTGGATCTTTCAACCATGCAGCAAAATGCACACTGTATCCTGCTTTTCAGTAGCTTCACAGAAAATGGAATAACGGTTACAACTTTACAGAAGACATAAGGAAAACCTCTCAAAAAGTAAGAGTGGCAAGAGCACCAATTTTTAGACAACTTAATTTGAAGTGCCAACCTGTCTTCTTGGGCATTTATTCCTCCTTAAACTAAACTTGCTCATGTGATTCTTGCTGATCCCCTAAAGTCTACAGGCATCCAGGACTGGAGACTGAATGTTTTTTCTCTAGATGTAAACTGAGTTGACAAGAGAAGGGGAAACTTCATTTAAGCCCCTTCTTTATAAGGGATGAAGGCCTGAAAGGCAACTGAGTAGCAGCCATCTGCTTATGAGTCAGAACTGAGAAAGCAACGTGCATCTGGGTGGGGAGAGGAACATTTTCTCCATATGACTTCAGTGCAAGTTTCACCATGTCGCTGTATCAGGTTTACATCCCTCCCTCCCTGTCACTGCTTTATCTGATTTACACAGGATCGGGTATGGTGTGAAGTGAGGGCTTTGGCTTTTTTTTTTTTTGGAGCAGCACTAATTCTTCTTCTCCCCGCTCCCAAGAATAAGGTGGCGATAAATGGAGAAATCTTTAGAGAAGTGTAATAGAAGGGAAGGAAATAAGATGAAAAACTTCTCAAAGAGAAGAGCATAAAACCTGAGGAGATACCACAAAGCTATACATGAAAATGGATCAGCTGGAAGAACAGCGTGGTAAATCATTGGGACAGTCAGTGCGTTTCACAGTTGTATTTTTTAGAGAGCTTCTCTTAACCAATATATCCAGTACTCCACAGGATGAAAAGCTTATTCAGCAGTTCTACAGACTAAAGTTTGACTCTTGCTACTGGGCTTCTTGAAGGTCGCTGCCTGCTTGCACAGGACAAGTGTCCCCAAATATTAAATCAGACTGAATGCTAGTTAAAATAACAGCAGGAAAGTTCCTAATTTATGTAATAATCACTGACACCCCCCCCACACACACATTTAACAAACAACTGATCGGTAATATCTTTTATCACAGATTCAAGACTCCATAAAAATATGGAGACTTGAAAGGCTAAACTCTAGGTGTCTCCATCACCAGTAAGACAGGCAATATTTACTTCTCCATATACTGAAAATTAGTAAGCAGAAAAATATGTTCTACATACTGTGCAAGGAAAGAGACTGAAAAAGCTCATAAATCCACTCGTTAAAAAAATTAATAATCAGTTCACTAGGATGCGGTACAGCATTCAACCTTAACCTAGACAGGCAAGAGCAATTTGGTCATCTATTTATAAAAAGGAGGTAACGTCTTCCAACAGGCTGCCTGCAAGACAAGCAACATCATCTATATACTTGGCAGTTTGGGGATTTTGGTGGTTCTTTTACACAGTAGATCACAAGTGGTAGTTTTATATTACTTCTTACAAGAAATTCCCCCCTTGAATCCTCCCAACAGACATGCATACCCATTTCACAGCTGAACGGTACATACAGAAATCTTTTAGCTAAAGACCGCTTTCTTCGCTGTATCACCAATGCCTTAAATATGCAATTACTTTGATCAATCTGTAAGAGGAGGATAACCAACCAGTTAAACACTCCATTGACTTGCCAGGGTGACATGGTAGAACCCCTGAGGTGTTCTGGAGACCCACTGATGGGGGTGCAGGAAGGACTTGGACACATCACATTTCCTAAAGGCTCTGTAAGATGAGACCTCTGCAAGAGAAAAAATGAAATCTCCAACTCAGTAAAGCTTCATGCGACAGTGAATCCGAAGAAGGATGAGGTCAGAGAGAAAACAAGAGTAATCTAAGGAACATTTTGCAATTCTAAGCAACACTAAACTTAGGTAGGCCCAACATAATCAATCACATGCCATTTAATCAACTGCATTCCAAACAACAACCCCCAAATCAATAAAAAGTCCTATTTTAAATGCATTCTTACACATCACAAAATAGCAAAATAGAGCTTAGTTCGCTTTTAGGCTGGAGTCCATTTTCAGAGCAAGATGACCTAATTTTTGAGCTATTCTGCCTTTTCCGCTAGACAAAAAGCTTACACTGTACTAAAATCTGTACTAAATGCTGTACCAGTTCCACAGAAACTGTCTGAAGTTTTAATGAAATACTAGTGCTATTTAAGAACATTTGATGGTTCACACACACTCATTGGACGTGATTCTGAAGTGTCAACACACTTCTGGTTTCCACACCACTAAACCCCAATACCTGCAGTTCACTGCACACGTGTATCTACACTAGCATTAAACCACCACCCCCCCAAAGATAAAAGAGCACCAGGAGTACAGTTTTCTTCATACTGCACTATCAATGTCACAGCTTCATCCCTTGAAGGAAGCACTTTGTTGTCTAATAATTAAGATGGTTTCATTGAGTCACGGACTGTATCCAGACCACAGCATTCAACTAGTAGAGCTTCTATTACCTTGTTTATTCCCTTTTTGAACAATTTAAATTTGCCATAGAATGTTTTAAATCAGAAAGTTATTATTGACTACAATTCCTTTTGGTAGATATTTCTATCATACAATGGAAAAAAAAAAAAAAAACAACGAATCATCCCATATTCATCTTGAATCTATCAAGAACAATCTCTCACCGTTGTTTCTACCAGAGCTCAGTTACTCAATGTTCAGATTCTGCAGCTTACCCTTACACATATTGGAGTATCTTCCCTCAGAATTTGCAACTGAAACAGTTAAAGTGGGCTTTCAAGAAAAGGAGTCATCTTAATTTTTTTCTTCTGTGTCCTCTGAAATACAAATATTTTCCCTATGCTACAGCCACAGCTTATGACAGTTAACCCTTCATAGCTTCACAGAAGTTAGGGCTAAAAGCACTTCTTACATCACTTGGTCTGGTGACCAGAAGCCACCCAGAAATACCAGGTTCTAAACTGTACTTGGATATGTCAATCCTTTAAAAATATCTTTAAAACCATCTTACACAAACAACATTGGTCAGAAGTGCCACCAACTCTAAGACTCTAACAACAGCTTAAGATCAGAAAATGAAATTTTCCTTAAACGCTGGCTTTCAGGGTTTTTTTTTTATGACTGCCAACCCAATCACTTTCCACAGCTCTTGCACAGTAAATTAAGATTCACACTATATTTCTGTGGTGGGTTTTTTGTTTCATGGTTTTGTTTTCCTTTGTTCTTGTTTAATTTTGGAGGACTAAGTATACACAAAAGTACAAAAGTACAAGAGTTTTTTTAAAGCGTAAGTTGAAGCAAGTTCAGTTCTGTGCCAGATAGAAAGTATTAGTAAACTGGTATCCGCTGATGCATTAATATATGAGGAAAAATTAGCAAAAATTAGTTAGAAAGGAACATTAAAATAGTATAGTAAGACCAAATTATTTTATGTGATTTATAAACTACTGTTGATTTAATATTTGCTTTAATGGAAGTTTCTTTCTTTGCTTCTATCACTGCAAAATTATGTGTTTCTTGATTATTGACCGGCTTCTGCATATTACACAGGAAACAGGAAGGAACAGCATCTCCTGTAGGGCACCTTGGGGTAGAAGATGAAGGCAAGAGCCACATATCCTTTTCAGAGGTCACCAGTGACACAGAACCCAAATCAGCCCTGCTTCTTCATTAGGTTTCCAGGCTGCCAGTCACCACCATGGACTACTGGGCCCTGGAGATAAAAAGCAACACCAAATTCCACTCATAGAAGGCACAGCACAACAAATATTTCTTAAGTATACTCTAAAAGAAAAAGAAACAACTTAGGAGCTACTTTTCTATAGCAACTTCACTAATTCAAAATGTGTTTTCGCTAACCTAGGGGAAGTAGTTTAAAGAGGAAACCTTACTAGGCCAACGTCAATGCTGTTTGTTTTTCCTAAAGAGCTGGCCACAACCATGGCTTATAATGAACGTCCTGGTTTCAAGGGCCTCCAGCTCTGTTCATGGCTACAGGGAGGTATAACAGATCCACAAAAAGGACGCTGAGGCATCACAGTGTCCGCAGGACATTACTTGCTCACTATCATTGGTCACGGACCAGCAGACCTTGGTGATTGCTAGTGTAGACTAGACTATTTAGAGTAACATGGCAGTAAATAATGAGTACTGCTCACAGGCTGATAATTGCCATGATTAAGACTATCATCCTCCCTTCACACTATTTAATTTCCATTTTTTATAATGGGTGAGGAGAGCTGGCCACTCTGCAGTTCAGTTGTTTCTGCTCCCGTCACACATTTCCTCTTCATGCTTATCAGCGTGTGCCTTGCTGCACACACACAATGCCCTACACACCAACCTATTTCTCTTTACAACCTTCTCTGTTGCTCAACAGCAGCTTAGTAGTTTCTCACACCAGTAAAATGTCTCCTTCGTAAAAAAGATCGGTAGAAAGTAGCTGGAAAGTTAGCATCCCTTACAAGGAAATTTTATGTTATTCGCTATGTAGTTTATACTTCACATCACCTGTGGTATAATTACACACATACTTGTGAATGGAAGATGATATTATGCAGAAAAAAATAACTTATTTTACACATTTGCATTCATGTCTGTATAAACATCATAACTGCTCGAGAACAGTAACTGCTTTACAGTGAATTAAAGATAATCATAGGCTAATTTGGTTAAATACAGAAATACAGCTAAGACAAATTCTAGTCACTCAGAAAAGATTCAAAGCATCTAGAAAGTTAGTATTCTCCATCTTGTTGCACTGCATTAGAGACTAATGTTATGAAAGTCTAGCGCCGTTAGGAATTATTATTTTCCATACCATTAGAGCTGAATCAAAGAACAATTTATATTGGAAGGTAAACCTGGAGGTCATCTAATCTAAGCCTTCATGCAAAGCAGGTCTGACTGACCCTCTCGTTTGCAATCCTAGCCAGGAATGCTAATGAATGAAGGCTTTCCTCACCTCAGATCCTGCAGGAGCACCTGCAAAAGTGTACAAGGGGTAAAGCTACGTGGGCACCGTTCTTTGTCAGGGACACATTATATACCACAGTGGAATAGTAAGTTTTATATTCATTAGAAAAGTAATCCAACATATTTGATTTATAACAGCTGATGAAAAAGAAAAGTGCATTTATCCAGAGAAAACAGACACATACGCAATAAGGACAATAATTAAAATGGTTTTCCTTCCAGACAAAGGGCAAGAGGAAGCACAACACCCAGTCAAGTAAAAATCCTCACATTCTGCTTTATTTCCAGAGTCTAGGGAAGTGAGCTTTGCAGTTTACACTGAAAGCCAAACAGATTCAAATAATTTAATATCGGAACATGAGAGTGATTTCAAAAGTTCAGAAGTGCTTTGAACGGATTAACTCAAGTGTTTCCAGGTACTTTTGCAGTGGACTGAGAGGCTCTTAAAAGAAGAAACTCCAAAATGCATTGCAAGTTTTGAAGATGGAAAGCTTTGTTTAATTTTTTTCTGGGAAATCTAGTCACATAGAAGTAAATACAATTCTAGCCAATAAATGAGTATTCATCCTATCTATTTTCTATCATAATGCTTCTCAGATACTGATGTGAAACATTAAAAGGTCACAGCCCAGAAGAAAAGCATAGAACTTGTGTACACAATGTTCTGAGATTTAAAGATCTGTGTGCTTTAAACAATAAAATTTTCCAGCAGACATCAAGGCTGGAAACCTAAGTCATACCTGTGAGCACCTCTGATGACACCCTGGCACTATACCAGTTTAGAAACACACACTTACAAGGACCAACTTGGTGGCTTACACCACTAGAGCCCTGTTCCATTAATGAGCTGCCCTGCCAGGACAAAATGATGAAATTAAGCCCTTCTCTCTCAGTAAGATCTTACTATAATCTTTGTGAAACAGACAGAAATCACAGCCCTCAAAAAATGAAGGTAACACTTCTTACTAGTATGGGACTAACTCAGAAGCTCTAAAGCTTTTCCCCTCACCCTTATTTCTACAGAGGAACATTCTGCTAAAGAAAAAAATATATGTGAATAGCTTCCAGAGAACCTTAAGTCATCAAACAGGCTAAAACTACCTTGGCAGCACGAGTCGCCTGTAGATACCTGTCTGTTGTCTTATTCGATATGCCAAATCAGAGATTTGAGTCTGCAAACATGTCCAACAGCAACTAATAGCTGCTCTCTCCATCGCCCACTGGCACTCTGCATGGTGATGTCTGAAAAGCAAGAATTTGCTCATGCTTACCATTTAAGTAAGTTTCAACACCACAACAAACAATTTGACAGAAATTCAAAAACAATTTCACTATTAAGAAGTGATTAAGAGTTTGAGGGGGGAAACCCATTTGTCCTATGTCCTCCCCAAATTCTACCAATATCTAGCCTTAATTTACAACTCCTATCCCCAAGATAGTCAATACCATTCTTCAACTGTGCAGCAAAATATATTAAAAAGGAGCAGGTATCATTATTCTGACTATTACAAACCAATGCAGGAATCTAGATCTTTCTAGACAAGCACAGAAATTACTTCTCTCCTCTGCAAATTCAGGGGGTGGAAATCACAAAAAGAACTGCCTGAAGGGACAAAGTCCTAGCTTGTGCTGCTGACCACAGAGCAGGACTAACCTGTATTTGTGACACTCCTTGTAGCTGTTTACATTACATGGTCTTAAACCTCTACTGACAGAAATCCATGTGAGCCCTTCAGGAAGGTACTCCAATGCTTGACTATCTCAGCTGGAAGATTTTTCATCT